TTTTTTGATATCAAAAATTTTCGTAATTTGAAGCAAAGATCGTAATTTTTCTTTTTGAATGCTTAAGTATTTCAATATGCTACCAATTAAACATGAAACAATTTCAAAATAATGCTTAATAACACAGTTGAAATTCGATCTTCAACTGTTAATATCTTAATTTTTTCGAATTAATTCGAATTAATAATTGTTAATATTTTCGAAAAAAAAAATTTCAATATTTTTCTCGTACTCCCCAAGGGAGCCTCTATCACCCCTTAAAAGGAATGACGTCAATTTTGAATCACCCTGTATGTGCCAAGGAAAGGGGAAATTTGGAAAATAGTCCAGTAGGAAAATGTGAAAACAAGCCACGCCACTCGGAAACTCACTGATTTTTTAATAAAATATAATTTATGTACATGAAAATATCACTTGCATCAAAATACGTATGTTTGCAAACAAACTCTCCAGGCTGAGCTTTTCACACCTTAATATCTACAATAGCAGCAACAGAAAAGCCTGCTGTTGCCGTCAAGTTACCACAAAACAAACAAAATTCAAGAGGTTCTCCATTGAAACAGTGGCACTATCCACCATTGAATGCATTCCTTTCACTTGGGCGAATAAACAAAGTCAAGAAATTGCTGCCAAACTGCAAAGCTTGAAACGAAAAATCGCGATTACCCCCGACCAACTACTATCACAGACTTTCAAAAATCGCACCGACTTAAAGGCGTATAATACAAATCACGGTCAGTTGATAACCTTCTAGTCTCTTCGTTTTATTTACTGGTGTGATCTTTTCGGTTAACCTGCCGAATTGCTGGGCCGATTTATCGTGATTTTGTTAGGTGCCTGCATATTGTACAACTCCACTCTGCAATTGAGTAAAAAGTAAATAAATAAAAATAAAACCTTCGCTACAGTCTAATCTGTAACTTGCTTGAGCGTTTGTGGAAGATCCGAATAGTACAACCCGTAATTCTTCACAGCAACCATGCACAGTGTCTTCAAGGAGGGTGAAAAATCCAGAACAAACATATCGCTATGATCCACCAAACCGTCGATACCCGCCAATGCGTTCTCTTCTCTAGTGCGGTTCATCGGACTGAAACAGAATAACACATTTCGTCAGCGAAGTTTGAAATATCGCACAGTCGGTTCAAGAAAAGTAAAAGTTGATTTTGGTAATTCGGGGCTCAGTGATCAAACACCAAAAACATTTCATAGGAAATTTTCTGTTGCATAAATACCTTGTGCCTCCAAAAATAAACACCCTGTCGCCCACATTAGCACAGGCTTGTCTTCGGCGCTCACATGGTGATTGACCATGAGGTTGCACCATCGTCCAGTGGAATTTCACCGGATCGAACATGTAGAGATCGTTGTAATGTAGACCCTCCACTGCGTTGTACCCGCCAAAAATGTACATTTTTCCGTTGTGGACGACTGAAACAATTTTAAATCAGTTGAGGTAGAAAAAAGCAATCAGAAAATGTGTATTAGAAATCATTGAGGAAGCTGCTGTTCATTGGAAATCGCTTATTAGTCCAATCAGATGTAAAAGGCGTGTTCCGGGCGCTAAATGGATGAAGGGAAAATACTATTGGGAAAGATGTCAGAATATTGGGACAACAGTTTGCGCACGGTTTACGGCTGTGGAGTATTCTTTAAATCAAGGAAAGTGCGAACTCCGGTTTTCGCCCATAACTTTTAAACCGTTGATGCTATTGGAAAAAAGTTTAATATTTTTTTCAAGTATTAAAAATACCTACAAAATGAGACAAACCAAATTAAAATTTAAATAAAAAAAACACCCGTTTTTTGCGTTTTTTTTTAAATTTTTTATAATTAATTTAGATTCTTAAAAAATCTAATAAAAAGTTTTTTGAAAATGTTTGTACACTTCATAAGTGGTATAAAATTGTAATAAAACTCCTGATTGTTATGTAAAAAAGACCCTTGCAAGATTCTATATAAGTGAGGGTCTATTTTACTCGTGACTAGTTTTACTACAAAGTACAATAAAGGAAAAGTTGACTACTGAAGTGTAAATTGTTTAAACACTAAGTTAAAAATCGGGAATTTTTAATGTTAAAAGTTAAAGGCTAAATTATTTTCCGATACAATTTCCACAGCGACTACTTAATTGCTATGATTTTCATGCGAATTTTAAGCGTTTTGTTTATAGCGAATTAAAAAAATCAGAGAATGATTTTCTTTTCAAACTTTTTTGCATCTTGTAAATTTGTCGACAGACATACAACAAAAAATTTTATTACAATACCTTGCAGATCATCATTCTTGTAAAAACATTATACAAATTTGCTTGTGTGTTTGCAAAAGTATTGTACTGTTACTTAGAAGAGTACTTGTCTTAACTTAAACTAATTATTTCGTGCATTTGATCAATGGATAGTTTTACTGTTTTTGGTGTTGACCGAAATTGGACAACAGATGTGTCGGAAGAGGGAACGATGCACCTATAAATTGGCAACCAATATCATCCGATCTAAAGCAGCTAAATGTTTTCTATGGAGCTCTCTTAAATCAAAAGAGTATGTCCGTCGCAGGGAGCAGTACAGAAGCCGAGTTACTGAAAATAACTCGGCTGAATTTTAAAAACAAGCCCAACTCGATGGCCAAAGTACAGTTCAATTTTTTGAAAAGAATTAATGTATGTGTTCGGGAAAACGATCAACATTTCGAACATTAGTTAAAATAATTAAATTAGTTCAATTGTGCATAAATAATACTTTTCCATGATTTTTTTCGACTTCTAAAATATAACTAACGAACAAGCCACAGCGATTTCCTATTGAAAACATAATTTTGACATTATTCAACTTATTCTTCTCTGTACCTAGATCTGAATTAATACAAGTCATTTGCAGTCCGAGCTGGATTCACCATGAAGCGTGTGTTTCAGCAATACCATCTTAAGAACAAGACCTCAGGCCTGAAATCTAAAATCTTGATGACGTCAGACAAAGTAGTCCAGTTTTTCGCCCGTAAAGAACCCATTAAGCTGTAGACCAAATCAGGTTATGACTAGTAAAGAGCGATGGTTTCATCTTAACTTATCTGGTCTTCTGCACAGAAGTTACACCGCATGGAAGGTTCTTCCGCGGAGTTGCCGGTTATTAATAATTTTCCGTGCCTCTTATTCAAAAGAACGATGTAAAATATTTATAACTTATTGTTGACAGTTTTCACTGAACTGCTCATATAACAGGGCCTATGCTGATTTGGGTACATATTAATTACTGAATAAGGAAATATAAATATTAGTCTTCGGACAATGCAATCGATAAAAACTTATGGCAACACTGGCAGCTTCAAAGATACGAACAAAAATGTTTGAAAATTTTCGGCTCTAACAAAGTTTTTCTCCTTTTTTTATTATTTTGTAACCTCGTTTTTGTATTTTTCTAGTGAATTGCACTTTTTTTCCACATGCATAACAGTCAGCCGATCTCCGACTTCCGAGCTGTTCAGTAGATTGTGCTGTTTAAGTGTTTCTGCGCTAAACCAACCAGTGCAATTGTGACCAGTGCCTTCATCAAGAATACTAATCCATCTTTGTTCACAGGCAAAAAATGTTTCGTGTTTGCAGCAGAAAAGTTGGGGCACGTAAAAGTTTTACTTTTACACGAAAACTTAGGTATTTTTAAATACTGAAGATTCGGTAATGGCGCCCATAACCCTGGAGAAGAAACTTCTGTGGGAGAATCTTTTGGAGGATGTCCAAAAGCTGACCGATATGCAGGCTGGTTACTTTAAGTCGGCAGAGTAGCTACAACAGCAATTGCACCACCAAATCAAGCTCCGGCCAGCTTTAGTGCGGCAGTAAAAATGGCCCCAAAACAGCAACAGCAGGGGTCCAAGAAGACACCAAATGCGGAGGCTTCCAAAGCCGCTACAGGAAAGAAGCCAGTGATCCCGAAAACGACTGCAGGTCCATCCGCCGTGCCTCTGGCCACTGCCATCCTGCTTCGCAAGAAAGCAAGACGCGTCGGCCGAGAGGAAGAAGAGGACGTGGTAGTCCTAGAAGAAGAAACCCGGATAAAAACATACATCCCGGTGACCAGCAGAAAGGCGGAAAAGAACCCGCCCATAAATGTTGAAGGCCAGAGCTGGAAACAGCTCAATCAGGCTCTCAACGACGCAGGAATTGTTGTGGCTAAAGCCACATCTACAAAAAAGGATACTAGCTCCTCGAAAGCCTCCAGAGGCCGTACATTACGTACACGCTGCCGGAGGAAAATAAGATTCACGTGGTCGTTAGGGGCTACCGAACGACTACGAGGCCGCATAAATCGAGGCTGAACTGCGGGGGCAGGGCATCCGGAATGCGGCATCATTCCAGATGGCCAGCCTACGCACAAATCAGCGATTGGCACTGGACTTGGTGAAGACCACCAACAAGAGCATCTGGAAAATATCCAGATTGTTCAGCATGGTGTTTCAGCAAATCAAGAGGAAACCCCAGGGGCTAGGGCAATGCTACCGCTGCCAGAGGTACGGGCACTCACAGCGGAACTGCACATTCCAGCCCAGATCTGCCAAGTGTTGCGAGCGCTTGCTGCCCAAGCCCGGAGGACAAGGTCGCAACACGGAGAGGAATAGCTCCCGTACTTGCAGAAATGGGCGAGTATTGGCAGAAGCAGTCGAAGCCCACCATGCAGCAGTGATCCCAACAACAGCTGAGATACCAGTGGTGTCGGACATTGCCATCGGCTCAGAGATCACCGAAACCAGAGATGGAAAAGTTGCATCAGGGAAATTGGTCCAGAAGATCAAAGTACCTGGAGAGTCCAAAAGGCCCTCCGACAGGAAGACACTAAGATACCAGCTTTACACGGAGTGCAAGGTTTGGTATATACTAACGGTGATAAAGCTGAAGCTTTTGCAGATACCATCGAGAGAGAGGCCAGAGAGAACACCCACCCAGATGAAGCCGACGGGCATGGAACTGCCGACAGAAGGGCCGTTCGGAACTTCCGAGCAAAACCAGTGGACAGCTGTATCTCCCCAACCTGCCCCAGGGGAGGTGGCAGCCATCATCAGGGACTCTAAGACGAGGAAAGCCCCTGGGAGGGACGAAATAACCAATAAGATGCTCAAGAGCTTGCCGAGAAAGGCGGGCTGTAACAAATTTAATCAATGCCATTTTCAGGACTGGGCATTTTCCAAGCATCTGGAAACACTCTGACGTTGTCATGCTTCCGAAGCCCAAAAAGAACAGGACCTTCCCTCAGAACTACAGACAGGCCCATCAGCCTATTGTCCAGCCTCGGCAAGATATCAGAAAGTTATCTTACCGAGGCTTAAAAGGGAAACGAAGGAGCTTGACGTGCTGTTGCCAGAGCAGTTTGGGTTCGGTAAACACTCCACTGAACTGCAGCTCTCAGAATCGTGGAAACATGCACCAAGAAAATGAACCAGAACAGGACAACCGGCATCGTCGCTCTGGACGTCGAACGAACGTTTGACAGTGTAGAGAGTCGGACTTAACTATAAAATGATGAGAGCAGATATTGATGAAAAATTGTGCCAGTTAATCGACAGTGATATTTGCAGAAGGACATTCAGCGTCAAAGTTGGGAACCACAGGTCAGAAGACAAAAGCACAGAAGCAGAAATTCCGCAAGGAGCAGTACTGTCCCCGATGCTTTACAACACTTTTACCAGTGGCATCCCCAAGAACAGCCAATACGTCACTGGCTCTGTTTGCGGACGATACAGCCCTGGTGTCATCTTCATGGCATAAGGAGTGTGTTCGTCACCAACTGCAACGTGCCGCTGATGAGAAACCTACCTGTACCAGCTTGGGGCAACAGAAAATAAACTTCTGCGGATGGCCATAAATGCGCCCTAGTTTGTACGTGACCGTCAAATTTACAGGGACTTGCAATGGGATCCCCTTCGAGACGTTCTACAAAGGAAAGCAGCATCGACCTTCGGAAAGGCCCAAAGACACCCCTACGGATGATGGGATGATTGGCCCCGGAAAAAGAGGCCCATACTTCAGATGGCCCAACAGGGCAATAGGTAAAGCAGCAAGCTGCAAAGTGCTGTAAGTGTAAAACCTAGTGTTAATGTAGTGAGATAGAAGTAGTGCATGTGTAAAATTAGTAAGATGCTCATACTAGCAGGTAGCCAGTATGGATAAAATCTGCTGTGAGGCAAACGGATTCTGGAGCTAACCCATTCTTAGAGAAGACTATAAGTTTTAAAGGATAACTCCCGAAAACTTACAGTCAAAACTTGGGGTTTTTTTAGTTGGTGGAAATTCAAATCTACCTGATGTCTTCGAGAAGAATTTTTCTCCTCCAGCCTCCGCCGGCCAAACAAAAAAAACATGCATATTATGCCTTACAGGTGTTGTCCCGGGGTGTCGCTGAAATTAAACAAACAACCCGAAAGTGCACCTTTTTGGCTTTGCG